CTGAATTTGAGAATTTAAATCAAAATAAATGATTTTCAAATATAAATATATATAAAAATATCAAATTTATATTATTTTTATTAAATTCAATATAAATAATACCAAAAATTATTATTTATATGAATTTCGATCAATGTGGACTGTAGGGTAAACGGTAAGTTAAAATGTCCAAAATTAGCTTTCAATATGTTCATACACACTACTAATCAATTTACAAAAAAAATATTACTTTGTTCCAAACGTGCTAACACGCCACAATCGACCGACCCGATTAGTGTAGCGTACACGCAAGCAAAAGAAAAACGAAAAAAAATATGTTTATAGTAGGCAAGCGACGGCTGCCTATTACGATATTAGTTATGTGTGTATCGTGTGTGTATGTTACTGCAGTAATCAGACAAGCGACCGTACAACGTAAATATGTCGCTAGCGTATATACGTGTATATTATTGTGTATTATTGAACAGGGATATATGCGAATATTAAAGGGAAAGGGCACGTTTATTTTTCTATTATTATTCGCACAACACAGTGGTAATAGGTAAAGAATATTTTGGAATTTAATATTTATTATTAAAATTAGGTCGATGTTATTAATAAAATTATCAAAATTTAACACGAACGTTAATTAAATTTTATTAATAATATTGACCACACACATTAATTAAAAAACACTTTTTTAAGCAATTTTTTCTCACAATTACCACAATATATATTTGCACTAAAAAATAATTGTTTTTTTTTTTTTTTTACCACTGTTCAATAATAGACAAGGGAAAAATTAAAGGCGACAAACGAAAAAATAGGGATTAGCGACGCGTTGTAAAGCGACCTTTGTTGTTGTTGTAAAGTTATAATTTTTGGTATTTTAGACTTTGAACTTTTTTTTTGTTTGTTATTCTTTTTTCGCGAGCTCACAAAAGAAAAAAATCACTGCACTCACCTACCTGATTTGTTGTTGATGATGTTTGAAGATGACGATGATGCAGTTGATGAAAATGAATGAGGGATGATGATGTATAGGGATGGTGATGATGTTGTGTTGTTGTTTATTTTATTGAAATGAAAACTAATAAAAGCCAAATAGAATTCTGCTTCCAAAGCTCGAATCCGGTTCGATAGGACCAAAATGTTTAGGCGCCGAAATTGCGTTTCGAAAAATAAAGAAAATAAAACACGAACGTTTTAGTTTTCTGATTTTAAGTTTTATTGAAATATTAAAATAAATAATAATAGGGGAAGAAAAGGAGAAAGAACAGATTACCTGTGTTACGAGTAGCGATCGATACGAGAAGGAGATGAACAATAACAATAATGTTGTAAAGTGACATTGGCGCAAAACAATACTCATTAGAAAACTGACAGTTCAATGTTGTAACATTAAGGAGTATGCAGTTTTCTAATGAGTATGCAAACAAACACAATGAACACGAGCGTTCAAAGGATGCATTTCCCAACAATGCATATAAAGGCGATTCTTACTTAAACAAACCCTTTATACCAAATTACATTCAAATTACATTTAGAAAATGCGGCTTTAATCTTCAACATATTGAAAATTGCTCTGTACCATTATATGGTAGCTATATCAAAACGTAAACCGATATTGAAATTTTTTGGTATGAAGATTTGACATCATATGCGAACATGAACAATATGCCAAGAATCAGTTTACATATTGAATAAATAACAAACTTCTTCCATTTTTTTATTAATAAACAATTTTTTAGTAATTTTCTTATTAACGTATACTGTGTAAATGTTAAATTTATACTTTAATAATAATATATAGACGTTGTTTCATCGAGTGGACCAACAACGCATCCAATATTGCAGTTTATAATGCTTTTATATTTATATCCATCACCACACTGTGGTAGAGAGTATTATGTCTTTGTGCATATGTTTGTAACAGGCAAAAAAGAAACGAGATCGAGACATGGTTCCTTTTGAGAATATGTATAGAATCACTTCCTAAGTCGATTTATGCATGTCCGTAAAGTGCATTTCTGATCCGAATTGGATGAAATCTGGCACAGTTCATTTAATTGGCCTAAGGACGAACCCTAGTAAAATTGAGAAAAATCGGTTCAGGGGGGTTACTCTGTATTGCGATGCGTAAGAAAAATTCTATCTCATCGCGTAATTGGTACTCTCTAATTCGTTTTCGTATCTCCTTTCGCATCTACTTTACGCAAATGTGGCATCACCGCAATCTGTAATACGAAAACGCATGTCAAACTCGTTCGTTAAACGCAAATATCTTGCGTTAACAAAATAGCAAACGCAAATGAAGCGAAACATGTAAATAAGCACAATTAAAGTTTTTATTTACATCTAAATTGATAATTATTTTGGGTGAAAGCCAAAAAAAAGTTACAGTTGACGACTCAGCACCGTCAGTTCCAAACTTTAGTAGATTTTATGGTGCAACACAGCGATTTGGCAAGGGGCCAGTTGTAGAGTTCAAATGCGAAACGACGCGCCAAAAAATTGTAGAGAAAACTGGATGATGACCTTAATTCAGATGGACCTCCTGTAAGAGATGTCGCTGGTTGGAAAAAAGTAATGTTTTATATTTTATATATAAAATGTGAAACTATGTGTGCATATTTACAGGTTGGTGTTGATAACCACCTTGCCCAAGCAATTTCAAAGCAGCGTCCACTTTTATTGGATTTGGAATTGCTGTGGATCTATTTGGAACGACGAGGTCATTTTTAATAGCGTTTATTTATTGTACAAATTTATAAAAATTAAATATTTGAAAACGTTTGTCACATTATTCGTACTTCTATTTTCATACCCGTGTTCACTTAGGTAGAGTATATTTGATCGATCTCTTAAAATTCTTTTTTTTAGTTGGTTCATCATTTTTGTTAAAAAAAAACACTCGTACCACATAAAAATATGTTTTAAATGTTTAATGTTTTAAAAAAAACACTCGTACCACATAAAAATATGTTTTTATTTACAATTTTTTGACGTTTCCTTTTGTCATTTTTCGTTATTGTTTACTTTGTGGTGCCAGTGTTGCCCTATTTTCGATTTATTTTGCGAATGCGTTTGCGTGAGCGATACAGAGTACCAAATTGCACTCTTAACGCATTTAGCTTTCGCATCGCACTGGCTTTCGCAACGCAATACAGAGTAACCCCCCAGATTTAGATATAGCTCCCATATATGACATGGCGTATTGATTAAGTCTAGAACGATGTGTGCTTAGTTTCGTAAAAAACGGTTCAGGGGGGTTACTCTGTATTGCGACGCGAAAGCTAAATGCGTTAAGAGTACAATTTGGTACTCTGTAACGTTCACGCAAACGCATTCGCAAACTAAATTGAAAATAGGGCAATACTGTCGCCATAAAGTAAACAATAACGAAGAATTACAAAAGGAAACGTCAAAAAATTGTAAATGAAAACATATTTTTGTGTGGTAAGAGTGTTTTTTAAACAAAAATGATGAACGAATTAAAAAAAAAAAGAATTTTATGAGATCTATCATATATACTCTCCCTAAGTGACCACGGGTATGAAAATATAAGTACGAATTATGTGACAAATGTTTTCAAATATTTAATTTTTATAGATTTATATAAAATGTCTCAATAAAGATTCGTTTATGTATTTTTTAAACGCTCGTCGTTTCAAATAGATCCACAACAATTCCAACTCCAATAAAAGAGGCCGCTGCTTTGAAATTGCTTGGACAAGGTGGTTATCAACACCAACCTATAAATATGCACACATAGTTTCACATTTTATATAAAAAAATAATATATTACTTTTTCCAACCACCGACATCTTTTACAGGAGGTCATCAGACAGTTTTGTCCACAAATTGTTGGCGCGTTGTTTCGCATTTGAACTCTGCAACTGTCCCTTTGCCAAATCACTGTGTTGCCCCATAAAATCTACTGAAGTTAGGAACTGACGTTGCTGAGCCTGTAACTGTGACTTTTTTGCCTTTTACTTAAAATAATTTACAATTTATATATAAATAAAACCTTTAATGGAGCTTACTTATATGTTTCGCTTCCTTTGCGTTTGCTATTTTGTTAACGCAAGATATTTGCGCTTAACGAACGAGTTTGACATGCGTTTTCGTATTACAGAGTGCGTTGATGCTACATTTGCGTAAAGTAGATGCGAAAGGAGATACAAAAACGAATTAGAGAGTACCAATTACGCGATGCGTTACAATTTTTCTCACGCATCGCAATACAGAGTAGCCCCCAGATATATGAATATATATAAATTGGGAAAAATTGGTTCAGGTTTAGATATAGCTCCCATATATATATTTCGTCCGATTTAAAGTAAATGGTGCACCAAAGACACTATATATCTTTCGAATTGCACGAAATTTGGCATAGCGTACTGAATTAAGAGTAGGATGATGTGTGCTAAGTTTCGTGATCATATTTTAGATATAGCTCCCATATATATTTTCGACCGATTTGGGGTAAATGGTGCACCAAAGTCCCTGTACATCAATCGATTTTCACGAAATTTGGCATAACGTACTGAATTAAGTCTAGAACGAAGTGTGCTAAATTTCGTGAAAATCCATTCAGAGTTATATATGCTTCTATGTGTCCTATATATTTAGTTTCGCACGATTTTAGGTAAATGGCGCACCAAACTCCCAAAATATGTCCGATTGAGACAAAATTTTGCGCAGGGTACTGTGCACCAAGTAATCAACGTATGTTCGATTGAGATGAAAAACTTCACTATGCGATGTGCTGCAGTCGCGGGCGTCAAGCTTGCTTTAAATCGGTCCAGAATTTAATAATTTTGTCCGATTCATATAAATGGTACACAACAGACTCTCTTCAACTGAAATGATATTTTGCATAGATTCTAGAATGACATTTGTTGTTTCTCATATATCACATATTTAATTTCGTCCGATTCCTTGGTTCTTCAAAGGTTCGTCAAAAATACTACGTCGGTTACGATATTAATCTTGTTGTTGTTGTAGCAACAGAATACATGTCATTTTGTCATGCATCGTCTGGTTCTGCTTCTTCTACCTCCAAATTCAGGAATGCTGCAACTTCAGCGGGTTGCGTCCAAAGTGAATTCGGCGATAGGTGAGTAGGCTTAGCTGGGCAATTTTAGAGGTGCAAAGTGTCGTGTGGTCCTAGTCCACATGCCGGACATGTGTTAGGTATCGAGCCGTCAATTCTTGCCCAATATGAATTGAGGCGGTTGCACCATCCTGATCTTAGTTGAGCTAAGACTACTCGTGTTAGCCTTGGCAGTTGCTTTTCCTCAGCTGCGATGGATGGGGGTGGTCTCCAATTATGGTATTCACTCGATATTGCTCTACTGCCTGAGCGACTGCATCCGTGTGAATACCATTCAGACCTGCTTGATAGGCTTCTTGATCTAGGGGTTCACGCTTGTACTTTTGGACCTCTCTCTCTAGATCATGAAGATCTTTCCTGACGTGCCTGGGTGGGGGAGTCCTGTCCATAAGGCTATGGCAGGGATGTTCCTGACGATAACACCCAAGCAGGTACTGCATCGACAACATATAGTTGTGACGATGGACGGGTAAGATCTTCGTCTTCTCATTAAGATGGTCCACTGGAGTCATGAGGAGACACCCTGTTGCAGTTCTCAGAGCAGCGTTCTGGCAGGCCCCGTTCCGACTTTTAGAACATTCCTTACTGGTTTTAAATGTTTAAATATCGTTGTGCGTCCTTCGCTGTGTCTATAAAAGAGTCTTCCACGTCTTCCAAATCATTATTGACAAATTTCCATACTGACTGTTAGGATCAAGGTACAATTATTCAAGGTAGGCCATAGCATCTTATAAATTACTTTTTTGTTTTTATTTATTCTGACGTTATAGTCCACAAAGTAGAGGTGTATTTTCTCTTATTTCACAAAACATACCCTACCTTGTATAAGTGTACCATGGTTCGGATTATGTTCTGTCTCTGGTTAGTCCATCGTTATAATATATAAACATAATTTTGGCTTCATCGCAAAATATAACGTCGTCCCAATATTCAGTCGGTTGTGAAACGTTCATATTGTCGATTGAAAATCTCTTGTCTATATTTGCTGGTTTCTTGTATGCTGCTCTCGATGCGTATTTGATTTTAAATATGGTCTGTCGAATTGTTTCGTGACAAACATTGTGGAAATTTGAGGGTTTTGCATAATTCTTCTAATAATTATGCACTCAGTACGCTAATTATTTTTGATCTTTGTATAAACTACACACTTTAACTCCAAACTTCCTTAGTTTTCTTCTCAATTTTATAGATTTTAAATTGTCTTTCGTATAACTGAAAATATTTCCGACAATTCGATAACACTTCTACATTTGAAAATGTTCAATAATTATGCAGGTGTATACTCATTCTTGACATACTGTACCTTCTTGATCAGAATAAAGTTCTATGTCGATTTATCATTATTTAAGATAGATCTCTGAAATTTTGTACAGACATTGCCAGTACCTCTAGGGCGGATATATAGGATATATATATATAGCATCAAAAACGTTGCAGTGTGCCAGAAACATTAACTGGTCAACAAAGGCGTTTATCTCTGTTCATCCTTTTATGACTGATAAATTTTTTGATAAAATATAAATTGCAATATTAAACGATTTCTTCTTCAATAAAGGCTTTCGAAATCGAATCGAACCCATAGGTTAATTCCCATTTTTCAGTTTTTATTTCAAATACCTATTTATTTAAATTTTTGTTTTCTACTAATTCTAGCATTTTCTGGTATATTCAAACCTTTATTTTCTATTTTAAGGATGATTTCCAATATGTTAGGTGTACTGTACAAATTGTTGAAAATTTGGATTGATTTTTCATATTTTTTATATGATTTTATCCGTGCTTAGTTTACTTAATGTAACAAATTTAAAGAGCTTTTTTTAATACTGTTACGAATATAACTTTAGATTTAAGTTAATTTAGATGAATTCCGTTAATTTAAGAATTTGAATTGTAACGTAAATTTCTACTACGCAGTTTATTTGAATAACTTCACAACAACAACCACTGTATAGATTTTTCTACATCCTTCCATTTCCTCTTTCATTTTCTATTTTGTTATTGTCGTACAATTCTTGTTAAACGTCATTCCTCTTTCTTTGTTATTCCCTCGCCTGTATATGTGTTGTTGTTATTCCTCTTTCTTTGTTATTCCCTCGCCTGTATATGTGTTGTTGTTATTGTAAGTTTGTTTACTCAAGTTTGTTGTTGTTATTGTTCACTCAGTAAGTTTGTTGTTGTTATTGTTACTCAATGTGTTTGTTGCATTGGTAGATTGTTCGTGATCTAGGTGTTACCAGATCGTCTAGAAACTTCTGTAGCGACAGGCAGGGCTCATATAAATAGAGGGAATGGAAAGGCAGTGAGTCAGTTGTGAATCAGATCGCGAATTGAAACCGTCGAGTAAAGTAAAGTGCAAAGTAAAGTTGTGTGAATAAAATCATTGTAATAATCGTAATCCGAAAGAACCTGCGTTTTATTTGGTACGAATTGTATCGGGAAATAAAACAACGTCTACACGAGATTTAGTAAAACCCAAGAACGTAACAATTGGTGTCGGAAGTGAGATTACGATAATACTACGATGAAGTTTAAGGATCTACGAGTGGAAGACTTGAAGAAGGAGCTGAATAAATTGGAATTGTCCTCTACTGGCAACAAGGCTGAACTACAAAAACGTCTGTTGGATGAGTTCGAGCGCCGTGGTATGAACATCGATACATATGAGTTTGACAGTAAGGATGAAGTGGATTTATCGGAAATGGGCGAATCCAACGGTGGGGAAGTCTCGTCAGTAGCTGCCAGGGGTGACGATTTCAGAGAAATGCTGGCTAAAATGTTGGAGGAAAATTCCAGAAAGTTAGTAGAAAACACGAGACGAATGTTCGAGGAGAATTCCAGAAATATGAACGAGAAACTCGAGAACATTACAGAAGTTATTGGAAGGAGAGTGGAAACCGTGGAGGTCCAAATTAAAGAGTTGGATAAGAAAGTGAAGTCAGTTGACGAGAAGATTCTGTCTGTGGATGAGAAATTTCTGGTCAACGACCACAGGGTTACGAATCTGGAGAAGAAAATGTCGGAACTGGAAATTAAGGGTGGTCCGGTGCGAGTTCCTGATACCACACTAAAAATCAAACCTCCTGTATTCGACGGCTCTACGTCATTCAATGTTTTCAAGTTACAGTTCGAGACAGTGGCTTCTAGAAATTCGTGGAACGACAGCGACAAAGCGGTTGCACTACTTCTGGCATTGAAGGGCAGTGCTGCTGATGTTATACAGAGCATTCCTGTCGCTTCTAGGAACAACTATGAAGATGTTATTGCTGCACTGGAACGTAAGTACGGTGGCGAACATAAACAAAACATCTACCTTATGGAATTAAGGGGAAGAGTGCAGAGGGCAAACGAGACGTTGCAAGACTTTGCAGCTGAGGTGGAACGTTTGGTGCTAATGGCGTATCCAGGAGAGAATCACCCATTGGTGGACCGTATTAAAATCGAAACCTTTGTGAATGGCATACGTGACCCTGAGATTAAATGTGCAACATATGCGTCACCAAAAGCGTCATTTGCCGAAACCGTGTCGTTTGCCCTTGCCCAAGAGACGGCAAGAATAATTGTTAAGCCCCAGACCCACAAGATTCGCCAACTGGAGACCGAAGGTTGCGAACCCAAATCTCTCGTTAACTCGATCAAGGACGCCATGAAGCAGGTAATAGAAGAAACAAAGTTAGTAGGGATGACTAAGCCCAGGGTTAGATGCTACAACTGCGATAAAGCAGGTCATATTGCGCGCGAATGCAGAGCTAAGCGCAAACGATCCAGGTCATCGTCACCACCTCCAACGAAAGATGGTAGACGAATGGCTCAACAGTCCACCAATGAGTCACCGTTAAACTAAATCGAGCCAGTCCAGCGGGGCATGAACTGGCTCCCATCGACGATGGCCCCACAATCTCCATAGCAATAGTACAACAGAAAAGTCACAACCTAACAACAACTGGGTACATTAATGGTGATAAGCGAGTTCTGACGTTAGATACTGGCGCATCAAAGTCCATCATAAGATCAGATCTGGTAAAGGGAAAAGTAACGCAAATTAATGGAGTCAGACTGCGCACAGCAACGGGGGAGCCCGCGGCAGTACACGGCAAGATTACCCTGAGACTAACTATTGCCAATAAATCGGAGAATTACGAGTTTATAGTTGCTGATATCATAGACGAAGTGATAATAGGCGCAGATTTTATGATTGCCTTTGGTATCAATCTGGATATGAAAGAGCGTGTGATGACCTGGTCTAACGTCGAAATTCCGTTAAACGTGGGCTACGATGAAAGTACACCCATTAGACGTCTGACTACGGACCATCCAGAGATAATACCGCCCTGTGCCGAAGCAATAATATGGGTACCAATGAATGGAGATTGTGGAGCCGAGAAGTTGTGGGTGGTGGAACCAGCAGAAAACATCAATAGTGACATCCTAATAGCGAATGCCTTGGTGAAAAGCAACGAGGACGGGCTGATTCCTGTTAGAGTTTTGAACCTGTCAAACAAGCAAGAGCAAATTTGCCAATTTTCCGATGTTGGACAATGCACACCAGCTGAAGCCGTAATTAATTTGCCATGGAGAAGAAGCACCTCGACGGCTACATAAAAGAGTGGACACACCAATTATCACCTTCCGAGAGGAACAAGGCTAAGCAGCTATTATGGAAATATGCCTCTACCTTTGCGTTAACAAAAGAGCACCAAGGAAGAACATCAGTGGTGAAGCATGAAATCAATACAGCAGACGCGAGACCCATTAAACAGCCTCCAAGAAGTGTTCCCCTGGCAAAAAGAGACGAGGTCCAGAAGCTGATAAGTGAGATGGAAAAGAGTGGTGTAATAGAACCATCGTCAAGTCCATGGTGCTCCCCAGTGGTCTTGGTCAAGAAGAAAGACGGAGGCACTCGATTTTGTGTGGACTATCGAAAGTTAAATGATGTCACCAAGAAAGACAGCTATCCGCTCCCAAGAATCGACGACACATTGGACACATTAGCCGGGACGTCATGGTTCTCCACCCTCGACCTGCAGAGTGGGTACTGGCAAGTAGAGATCGCCGAGAAAGATAAGGAGAAAACAGCGTTTGGCGTTAATGGGGGTCTCTGGCAGTTCAATGTCATGCAATTCGGACTCTGCAACGCCCCGGCTACATTTGAAAGGCTGATGGAGCGTGTGTTAAAAGGGCTGCAGTGGAAGTCATGCCTCATATACCTGGATGACATCATAGTCATGGGACGCAACTTCGACGAACACATCAAGAATTTAAAGGATGTTCTTCAGCAGCTTTCGTCTTCAGGCCTCAAGCTGAACCCAAAGAAGTGCAGTCTCTTCCAACGAGAGGTGAAGTTCCTGGGGCATCACGTGACGCCGGAGGGCATATCGACGGATAAGGAGAAAATTCAAGCCGTCAGAGATTGGCCGCAGCCCCGAAATCTCCATGAGCTGCGAAGCTTTCTGGGTCTCTGCACCTACTACCGTCGATTTGTCCCAAATTTTGCCAACATCGCCGCCTGTCTACACCGCTTAACGCAAAAAGGCCAGAGGTTCCAGTGGGGCAACGACCAAGAAGAGGCGTTCAGTAAACTCAAAGACATGCTATGTAGAGCCCCCATTTTGGCATACCCTATACCTGGCGGAAAGTTTGCTCTGGACACAGACGCAAGTGCGTGCGGCATCGGTGGCGTCCTTTCCCAGGAAATCGACGGACAGGAAAAAGTCATCGGGTACTACAGCCGGACATTGTCGAAGCCTGAGAGGAATTACTGTGTGACGAGGAGAGAGCTGCTTGCTGTCCTTGAGAGCGTTAAACACTTCCACAAATACCTATATGGCCAACATTTCCTGCTGAGGACCGACCACGCTGCTCTCCAATGGTTGCTGCGGTTTAAGAATCCGGAAGGTCAACTAGCCCGTTGGATCGAGAGGCTCCAGAGTTATGATTTCAGAATCGAGCACAGAAAAGGCGGAAAACACGGTAACGCTGATGCCCTGTCTCGTCGGCCATGCAAGGTAGAATGCAGGCATTGCTCAAAGGCTGAGAATAAGGAGAATATCGTTGATGTCCGACTATTGCAGTTTGAGTCGGGTGAAGATTGGTCGACGGAACAACGAAGAGATCCCATTCTGGGCAAAGTAATTTCGGCCATTGAAACGGGCAAGCGACCTAGTCGTAAAGAAATTACCTCCGAAAGCCCTCTTTTAAAATCCTATTGGGCCCAGTGGGACAGTCTACTTATAAAAGATGGTTGCCTATATCGCAAATGGGAAAGTGAGGACGGTAAATCTCACCGGAACTTGATCGTCGTCCCAGACTCCAAAATAAGAGATGTCTTGTCGGAGTTTCACGATGGGCCAAGTGGAGGACATCTTGGCATAGCAAAGACCGCTGAAAAGGTAAAGCAGAGATTCTACTGGGTCGGCTGTCAAAAATCCATTGCCGACTGGATCGCCAATTGTGAAAGGTGCATAAAAGCTAAAGGTCCAACACGGAAGAGTCGAGGCTACATGCAGCAGTATAATTCAGGAGCCCCTTTTGAAAAAATCGCAATGGATGTAGCTGGACCGTTCCCCACAAGCGACTCTGGGAACCGGTATGTCTTAGTGGTCATGGATTACTTCAGTAAATGGCCGGAGGTTTATGCTATCCCAAATCAAGAAGCCAGGACAATTGTGGATGTGTTCAGCAAAAATTGGATTTGTCGCTATGGTGTTCCATCTGAGGTTCATTCCGATCAAGGTAGGAATTTTGAATCAGCGATCTTCAAGGAAATGTGTGACTCCTACGGAATTAAGAAAACCAGAACGACGCCCCTACATCCACAATCAGATGGCATGGTGGAAAGATTCAATCGCACCCTTGAAGAACATCTACGGAAAGTGGTGGACAGTGGCCAACGAGACTGGGATGAGCATATTCCGAAGTTTTTATTGGCTTATAGATCGGCCATTCATGATTCCACATCCCGGACCCCAGCCAAAGTTCTGTTCGGAAATGAATTAAAGCTACCTGGCGATTTGATATTCGGTGCTACCCCAAACGACGATGTGAACCAAGATGAAGACAGCCAAAACTCTTTTAGTAAAGTCCACGATGCAGTCCGACATCGAATAAAAATGGTTAGCAACCGCATGAAGGCAAGGTACGATCGAGCGGCAAATACCGATGGGTTTCAAGAAGGGCAACTGGTACTATTGTTCAACCCACAACGAAAGAAAGGACTATGCCCCAAATTGCAAACGCACTGGGAAGGACCCTACAAGATTGTCACGAAAATAAATGACGTCGTTTATCGCATCCAGAGGAGCGACAGTCCCAGGTCGAAGATGAAAGTTGTACATTTGGAGCGGCTGACCCCCTACGGAACGGGAACTGTGCCTATTCGGGACGAACAGGCTTAAGCGGGGGGCAATGTTACGAATATAACTTTAGATTTAAGTTAATTTAGATGAATTCCGTTAATTTAAGAATTTGAATTGTAACGTAAATTTCAACTACGCAGTTTATTTGAATAACTTCACAACAACAACCACTGTATAGATTTTTCTACATCCTTCCATTTCCTCTTTCATTTTCTATTTTGTTATTGTCGTACAATTCTTGTTAAACGTCATTCCTCTTTCTTTGTTATTCCCTCGCCTGTATATGTGTTGTTGTTATTCCTCTTTCTTTGTTATTCCCTCGCCTGTATATGTGTTGTTGTTATTGTAAGTTTGATTCAAGTTTGTTGTTGTTATTGTTCACTCAGTAAGTTTGTTGTTGTTATTGTTACTCAATGTGTTTGTTGCATTGGTAGATTGTTCGTGATCTAGGTGTTACCAGATCGTCTAGAAACTTCTGTAGCGACAGGCAGGGCTCATATAAATAGAGGGAATGGAAAGGCAGTGAGTCAGTTGTGAATCAGATCGCGAATTGAAACCGTCGAGTAAAGTAAAGTGCAAAGTAAAGTTGTGTGAATAAAATCATTGTAATAATCGTAATCCGAAAGAACCTGCGTTTTATTTGGTACGAATTGTATCGGGAAATAAAACAACGTCTACACGAGATTTAGTAAAACCCAAGAACGTAACAATACTTTCAAAAAATGTAGTAAATTAAAAATCAGACAATGTTTTAATTATGTGGTCACTTTAAAGTCTATGTTTTTTTTTATAAAACCCGTTATTTATGGAAAAATTGCATGCAATAATTTTCTATTTTCACACTAAAGGGCTAAACAGAATGTTCGCGATAAGCGTTTGTTGTTATCGCGTTAACGCACGCAAAAAGTTAATATATATTTAACTCCGAAGCGCACAACAACTTCGAGCGTTTGTTTATCGTTTCCTTGTGGTTGTTGTAATTTCGATAACACATAATGCAACGGATGACTAAGCGTTCGGAATTAAAAACAAAACTAAAAAATACTTCAAACGAATCGTGGCTGATCAACAAATTTTTACCACAGTTAATGTTTTAATTACGTGACCACAACTGTATATGCAAACTAAACACAGCTTCTATTCCCTTCCACTCGCCATTATATAAACAGCTGTTTTCTTGACAAAAAATCGATTTCCTGAGCCCTATATTATTTCAATTTTTGATTTTTAGACCTCTTTATTTTGATTGGAAAAAATGTCATCTGGACCCTTGCAGATATGAAGATTTTTTCAATCAATAGCCGGCAACAAATTTCTTTTAGAAATCTACAAGCCATACTCCTGCAACAGCAACATCGGCAGCAGCATGGATCGACACAGCAGACCAATAATGGAACATCAAGTGTCCGGTATTGCATGAATTTGGTTGAGTGAGTACTAAGATTTTTAAAACTACGATCAAAACTTCTTTTGATTATATAAATAAATACAACAAAAAAGTTTATTTTGCACAGGAAAAATGATCACGAAAACTATTTGTGCACCCTGCTTTTGGATAATGCCCACCGTAGGCATGCCTTTGCCCTGAGGGCATTCAATGTGGAAGTGGCCAAGTGTTCGGCAAATGTAAAGCGTAAACTTCAACATCAAATAGAACATGCTCGGAATTTAATATCGAATTTTCATTGTAGGTTTCTGAGGATCATATTGCGAAGATGCGCCTGAAATTCTGGTTTGATTCCATAGAAAAATGTTATGCCAAAGAGAAAACATATGTGGCCGATCAACCGGTCTTAAGGGAATTGAAGAATGTAAGAAGATGTAGCTCCTATAAAACAAAATGCGAATAAGTCAAAATTAAGGGCAGGTTGCGGAACATTATAACAAACTCTTAACAATAAAATTTACGTCTCTTATAACGGGAATCAAAATTTCTCAAGTTCTCAAGGTCTTAGTAGTACCGTAGGTTACATACGGATTATAACGGATTTATATGAAGAAAATATTGGTAGTCCTTTAGGAATGTAATTTCACATTTCCAAGAAACGAACAAATATAGGTCTTCCCAATCAGGTCCTTAATTTGACTTATGACGAAACCACATACTAATGCTCTCTTCATTACAGGCCATTGATAGCTTTCAATTAAATAAAGTCTACCTAAAACGTCTAGTCAATGCCCGCGATCGTGCACCAAATGAACCCTTTGTTACCATTAAAGATTTGGAAACATATGCCGAACAAACTTACTCATCTCTTTTGTACCTGCTTGTTCAATTGACTGGAGTTAAAGATATGAATGTAGATCATGCCGCATCACATTTGGGCAAAGCTCAAGGTATTGTTACACTATTGCGATCGGTACCCTATACCAAACGTAGCCAAGCATTAAATATACCCCAAGAAGTGCTCATAAAGAACGGTGTGAGTCAAGAACGTGTTTTACGTTCAAAGGCCAATGATAAGGGTGTTGAAGATTGTATTTTTGAGGTAGCTACAGCGGCGCATCAACATTTGGAAATGGTAAGATATTAAAATGAAGGTCTTCTATCTTAAAAGAAGAAAGAAGGTCTGCAACCATAGTATACCAGAAACGTTTCTTTGAAAAGACATTTTCCCCTAGAAGACCAGAAGGTTTTCTGACAATAGACCAGAAGGTTTTCTGCCATTGAAGACCAGAAAATGTCCCACCATAGCAGACCGGAAGGTTTTCTACCATAATAAATCAGGTCTGCTACCATAATGGACTAGAAACGTTTATCCCCTAGAAGACTAAAAGGTATTTCCCCGAGAATATCAATGAAGATCCCAAGGTCTGCTACCATAATAGACCAGAAGAATTTTCCCTAAAAGACTGGAAGCTGTTCTGACATAGAGCAGAAAATGCTCTACCAGAGAAGGTCTGAAGGTCTTATACCATAATAAACCAGAAGGTTTGTTACCATAATAGACCAGCAACTTTTCTTCCCTATAAGACGGAATGTTATTTTCCCTTAGAAGACTAGAAGGTCTTCTGCCGCCATAGAAGACCAAATGGTCTGCTACCATAATAGAACAGAAGGTCTGCTACCATAATATACAGATGTTTTTCTCCCCTAAAATACCAGAAGATCTTTTGCCATAGAACAACAAATTTTCTACCATAGGAGGCCAGGAGGTTTTCTTCCATAATAAACCGGAAGGTTTGTTAACATAATAGACCCTTAGGTTTTCTTCCCTAAAATACGAGAATGCCTTCTTCCATAGAAGACCACAAGGTTGGGTACCATAAAAGTCCAAAAGGTATTTTCCCCTAGCAGACTAGAAGGTCTTCTGCCTTAGAAGACCATAAACGTCGCTCCCATAAAAGAACATCTTTTATTATAGCAGATCAGAAGGTATTCTAAGTATAATAAAAATAGTTCTATCGATATCTTTATGTTGACAGAACCAAAATGTTCCTTGGATTTTAAACATGCTTTTTTATTTTAGGCCCGTAATCTTTCTGACAAAGTCCCAAAGGAAGTTCGTAAACTATTCCTACCCGCTGTTGCTATTGAACGTTATTTGGAACGTTTAAGATTGGCAAATTTCAAGTAAGTTATTATTTTAAATAAATATTATTATTTAAATGATATTTAAAAAATCATTTGTTTCTTCTTCATACAGTCTTACACATCAATCATGCCTGCAAAGAGATTCAATGTTACCCTTTTCATTGTATATGCGAAATTTACGTGGTAAATTTTAAGGAGTTTCCAAAATTTCTAATGGTACAAATATATGATTCTTGGCAAGATCGCGACAGCATTCGGCCAACATAAAGTTAAAACAGGATATAAGTTTCCTACAACAATAAATTAAAATATGGAAATTAAAACTAATTTTTAAGACAATGTTAAAAAAAATAAAACCAAAAACATACAAATTAGTATTGTTGTTATCATTCGATTTGCTCCTGCCATTTTGAGTAGTTGTCGAATAATTCACAACATCTTCATAAGATAAATTTTGTGGAGTTTTATCATTATTACGCATGTGATTTGATCTTGATAAATAATTCCAAAAAAGTTTTTCAAATATTGTGGTTTTTGAATTTGAAGGTAGTACCATGTTGTCATTACCATCATTTAGGGGAACAATTAAGGGTGTAGTTTTACCTTCTTTGGGCATTATTGTAATTGATTGCAATTTAACAAAATTAATTTTCAAATTGATATGCAAAAATACATGCTCCAAATAACTATCCTCCTTCCATTTGGGATCATCAATTGATTCAATTTCCGTTAATAATTGCTGTGCTATTTGTGTAGGTTTATCTAAAATGCGATGTATTTCCAATACAGCGGGTATATTTCGGAAATTCAATGGTTTGCCGTAAGTTTTGCAATGAACAACGCAAAGTTTTGAATGATGTGGCTTCAGAGTGAATTGTATTGGTTCAAATGTCAATATGAAATAGCCGTTAATTGAATAACTAAAAGAGGAATAGTAAAGAATAGGAACGTAAGTTGTATTTTCTTTATAGCTTTAGAATATGGACCGTTTGTAAAAGAAAGAAAGATTGAATTATTCCATAGAAGATCAGAGGGCTAAAAGGAAGAAAATAGAAGAAAAAGAAAAGTCTTGTCCAAACTAGTGTGAAACGATCGAATTGCTCCTTATAACTGGAGCTCTCAAAATTGATGCATGTAAATAGAAACATTAAGGGCCGGTCGCGACATTCAAGTAGACTTTGTGACCTTTATTGCAACGGAGATCAATACATCCCAATGGACTGGGTGTTAAAAAGTTTGTTATTTGACATTTCAGGATTTTGAGAACTTAAACGGCATATACATTATAAGTTTTTACCAGGTTAACCTACTTTATGAGGATTTTTTTGGCATATAGGCAAAGGAATTGACAATAGAAACCCGCTGGGTTAACGAAATCCGGTTAAATGTAATCGTACTATTATAGTACGTTTACATTTAACCGGATTTCGTTAACCAAGTGGGTTTCAAGTGTCAATTCCTTTGCATATACGTCAAATAAATCCTCATGAAGTAGGTTAACCCGGTAAAAAGTTCTAATGTACAAGGAGTTTTAGATATAAATGCATGTTTTGTCGTAGCCCCCTTAAAAGGTATATTGAAGTTTTTAATCGAATTTTCTTCTGTAATAGTACGTTTACATTAAACCGGATTTCGTTAACCCAGAGGGTTTCAATTGTCAATTCCTTTGGATATATGTCAAATAAATCCTCATAAAGTAGGTTAACCCGGTAAAAAGTTCTAATGTATATGCCGTTTAATTTGGCATTTTTGGATATTGAAAACTTCTCTGCAGAGATGTATGATTGTAACCCCATATAAAAGTCTTGGAGGTCGAAAAATATATTTACAGAAAAATATCTGTATAGGTCCATGTTTTGTCGTAACCACCATATGCAGGTCCCGTTCCATTTTTTGTTTGTTTTAATTTAAAGCCCAATTTAAGGAATTTTGAGTTATTTCCTGTCGTATCTTTCGACTGCTCTATATACCGGCTTCCTTCGGCCCCTTAACAGTCCCACTGTCCTTTTGCTTGTCTTAAAACTCTATGTCTTTCAATTCATCTTGTCTATATAGCTCGCCTATTAAAGAACCCCAGTCTAAATAACATTCAGTCTACAGATGGTCCATTAATAAATGTTTCTTTCAGCATCTTTAAAGATGCCCTTCCGTTCGGCTCTAAATACTCCCTTCAGTTCGTCTCTAAAGACTCAATTCAGTTCGTTTCTGGTCTGTAAAGACTCCATTCAGTTCGTTTCTAAAGACTCCCTTCAGTTCGTTTCTGGTCTGTAAAGACTCATTTCAGACCGTCTGTAAAGACACCCTTCAGTTCGTTTCTAAAGACTTCCTTCAGCTAGTCAGTAAAGACTCCCTTCATACCATCTGTAAAGGCTCCTTCCAGACCGTCTGTAAAGACTCCCTTCATCTCGTCTCTAAAAATTCCTTCAGCTCGTCTTTAAGACTTCCTTCAGCAACAATAGGTCAATATCTTATAAAATCTAATGTTTAGGGTCGTACGTATAATATGATTATCGAAACAAGCAAAATTCAAAGTTCAACTTACGTTTGCCATTTAAATGCTATGCATATTTGATTGTGATTATGTATGACCACCATTTGTGAGCGTTCCTCATTTGGTTCCATGACAAAAGTCAATTTGTTTGGATATAAAACATATAAAAAATCCGAAGATTCATAATCGTTAATGGGAACAGTGGATTCAGGAGGGCAATCCTCATCATCCAAAATGCCTTTGCAGGACAGAGGGATATCGTAATTAAAACCGTTTAGGGACATAGTAAGAGAGAGCTGAAAACAAATTGAAAAAACAATTTTTATAAAAAACATTTAAAATAATACATGCGATTTTTAATTCTTACTTCATTTTCAAAATCACTTGGTCGATAGTCGACAATCAATGGCCAAACACTTTGTCGTGGCACTATCATATTGGAATTAATCAAGCAGAAACCTCTATCTCTGGCCCTAAAACGAAATTGCAGATTTTGACCTGTGATATTACGTATCCATATGGCCTGGGACATGCGGCGATATTCTTTTACATTAATCGGCAGTAATTCACGCGTCAATACACTTTCAATTGGATCCATGGTGACAATATTTAAATGAAAATTCCAGATAATTACACGGGAATTTGAGCAACTGCAAAAAGTAATTATATTAAAAAAAAACAACTATTAAAAGACAAATCTAAAATAATCTACCTCATTTCATAGGAAAGCATAAATGATCCATATAAATAAAAATGGGCCACCATAGACATGGCCACTAAATCATTTGGCCCCAGATGAAAAATTTCCTGTGATATGTTTATCAGACGACGATGTGGACAATGATACAAATAACGAAATTGATTGAAACCCACACGAGTCTCAAGCGGCGAACATTGACAATTTTGTAAACGTTTCAAAGTTAGTGTCAAGGCTTGGCGGGACACATTTCTCAGCCAGAAGATAATTTTCAATGGTTTACTATTCAATTGGCGGGTGGGTAAATATAAACTATGTTCAATGTGATTGACATCTGATGATAATTTTTCATTTAATCTAGGTTAAGAATATATACATACATATTGTTATTAAGATAATGACATCGGTCGTCTTTTTTTCCTACCCATCAATATCCAATTTTTGCCAATAGAATATCTTCAGTAACGGTGGCCTAATGACGGTAATATTTTCTACTTCAAATATATCATGACTGAATAGTTCATCAGTTGGTATCGGATCTTGTATATTATTTTTTGCGCAAATGGTGCTGGATTCCAACATGGGTATTAATTATATTTTATGAATAATGGTTAAAATCTCACTAAAATCAATATTTTTTAAATAAATATTTCGATGACTGCTATGAGCGGTATAAATAAATATCTGTTCGTTACCCAAATTTTCAAAAAGTATTTTTTAAACTTCCTTCATAGAGAGGTATAAATGTTTAATATGCCATTTCGCTTGCAACACTTTGAAATATTAACATCTCTCCGGTAAATCGTTGGCTTCAACTCATTTAATTTGATCCAGAATATATATACATTTTCTATATCTTGTCTATATCTGCCCCTCTTTCATTTTTACATCACGATAGCGATTTGGAGTAATGGGATTTGAAATGTTACAAATTTCATCATTTGTTGTTGTTGTAGCAGCTGTCTACATGTTAGTAGTATTTCAACTATTCTGGTTCTGACTCTTCTGTTTCCAGGTTTAGGAAGGTTGCAATCTGTTAAGGCTGCGTCCAAAGAGATTCCGGGTTTAGCAGGACAAAGAGATGCAGCGTATCTTGAGGTCCTAGTCAACACGCAGGGCATGTGTTTGGTACCGTGCTGTCAATTCGGGCCCAATACAAATTGAGGCGGTTGCACCATCCTGATCTTAATTGGCCTAAACCCACTCTCATTTGTCTAGGCAGCTGTCGCTCTTCTGCTGCTATAGGTGGTGGGTGGATTCCAAGTACTGCATTCACATGGTATTGGTTCATCGCCTGGGTCGATAAGCCTGTTGATCTAGGGTTATCTTTTGTACCCTTTGGACCTCTCTCTCTCTATCATGTAGTCTCTCATTACGTGCCCGGTGGGAGAATTTTATGGATGATTCCTACGATAACACTCAAGCAGGTACTGCATCGACAACATCCTGTTTTAACGATGTACGGGTAAGACCATTACCTCCTCTTGTAAATGGTCCACTGGCGTTATAAGGAGGCACCCTGTCGCAATTCTCAGGCCTGCATTCTGACAGGTTTGAATGTTCTTCCACTGCGTATCGCTTACATTCATTTGTGGGGGTTGAGGGTGCCAACCTCGCATATATTCAGATATGGCAAAGCCTCTTTTCATGGTAAGGACTCGGTAATTAAGCCAGACGGGGCCCTGTCTGCAAACCCTAAACACTGATGGGGACGAGATCGCCTAACACCCCAGTATTAGGGAGGCAACTGGGGAAGGCAGTCATCTACGTACCACAGGACCCGCTGATTGACCGTGACCGCGATTATTTGATATTCACTGTGGACGCGTTCGTTAGCATTCAGCTTTACTCCCCGTATTTTAGACACATTTTTTTATTTTTTTCTTTACAGAAATTTTTAATGTGGTGCTTTTTTTTTGTAAAATTTTGGTGTAAGATCTTGTTTTAGTGTAAAATTTAAACTTTGTTTTGCAGCTGCCAATCGAACTACAAATGGACATACAATAGATTTATGGATAAAGCCAAGGAACAGGTCAAGTTTAGGAACAGATCGTAGATCATGCTGAAAAACAACAGTTAAAGTTCAGTGGTAGTTGTGTAGGGTATGATAGCTAGGTCTTTTAAATGACATAGTTAAGGGTCCAGGTCCTTCGTCCGTTAATTTCAGACATTATCAAATGTACAAAAGCCAATATCAGAACCTAACAAAATGACATTTTAAAATGAATGAATGGATTAAGATTTTCGGCTACGCTACATGGAGCATTTTGAGTTTAGGGGCTCATCTCGAATTGTTTTGCCTGTTTTTCCCCCAGGCAGGTCTCGTCTTCCTGGTCTTCCTGATAATATGATATGGACCTCTGAAATTTCGAAATTCATATGCTCATAACTTCGTCATTTATGGACCGATAAAGGTAATATCATCATACTTACTGGCTGTTTCTGTGAAATTCGAAACGAAACCAAAATCAGCAGAGGTGGCACAATTTCACGTTCATACGAAATATTTGAATACAACTTTCCAATCTTTCCTTTATTTCCTATTAAACTTTTCAAACGACTACCCTTTCGACTACAGCAAAACTGCTACAACAAATTTGAATGAAACAACGACCGACCGAAGAGTCCAACCGAATATGTGGATTGAAAACAAGCGAACGAAGTTCAAAAAGAACTAAAGAGTAGGCGATTTTTTTTTATTCCGATTACTTTCAACTAATCGAAAGTGGACACAAAACGAACGTCAAGGCAAAACAAAACATAACAAGTCAGATAAAATCGTGAAAACGGCTGGGTCGGACGTCGAAAAGTTCTGTTTTGCAAGTGCAAGAAGAGTGAAAAACGGAGTGAAAATTTTTGTATTTATAAATTTAGAAAAAAAGAAAGGAATATAACTATTGCAAAAAAACAAACAAAATGGTAAAGAAGTATTTATTACTGAAAAAAGTGCAATAATGATTTTTTAAATAATCGATTTAATGAAATTTCAATGGAATTGTTGATTTTCTTTGAAAAGAAAAAGTTGTATTTTAAGGAAGAAAGAAAAAAACGGAGTGAAAATTTGTGTAAAGTGCTGAATGATGTGAATGAAGTACAGGAAGGAAGTGGTTGTTACTGATTTATCGATTTTTCTTTTGCAAATTTTTTTGTGTGTTTATATAAAAAATAAAAGGAATTATTTCAACAAAGCAAAGTTATCAAATTCGAAAAAAATAATTTTTAACAAGTGGTCAATTTTGAAAACATAAATTTGTAAAGTGGTTGCTGCAGGAGTGGGAGAAACTGCAATGCAAATCTCCAGCCAGAGACCTGCGCCAATCGGCTCACAGCCGGCTGAGCCGAGCCGCCGTTAAAATTCAAAAGCCGCCGCCGCCGAAATTTTGTTCGGCTTCAATCGGCTTAAATACAGCCGCCGTTTCATGTTCGTTATAACAAAAAAATGTGAAAAAAATACTGTTTTTATAATTAATATAATTATTATAATTAAAAACCAGTGAGCGGGGCAGTATAGTCGGACGGGGCCGACTATATGATACCCTACACAACTTCCTCGAAAATCTAACTTTCTGTGGTTCTATATTTTGATCTTGGGCAATATTTGCACTCTCTTGACCTCTACAGTGGGTTGTGTTCAATTGTGTCCTATAGATCGACTCGAAAAAACACAAAAAATATGTTTTCGGTCCACTTTATCCCAATATTATTATCTGATCATCACCGAAAATTATGGGCGTTGTCCTTGACCATACCTGGATCCTCATGGAAAAATTCAAAGCGATCAGCACTATATTTCCGCCCTCTAGTGTGTTAATGGGTTACTGAATAATATCTGAGTGCGTAAGCACCTGTATATATTTACGTGTAACTCCCACATCCAAGTACATACGACAACGTAATTGATATCAATTTGAAGGCCAACCAATCCTCATGGATATGTTGTAAACTTCTTGGGTCTATGTCATTCAGGGGTAAATATATACGCTATAGAATACAAATTTTGTAATTTTCTAGTCCATTTGACCCGCTAAATATTGACCGATCTTTGTCAAAGCAGACATGCTTATTCCTTAGCCCGATCCCGATGTTCGGGCCATAATTGCGACAAAAATTAAGTATTTGGTCCATTTGATCCCCTAAATATTAACCGATCTTTACCACGTATGATGGCCAGAACCCATCATACGTGCCAAATTTCGTGAAGATTGGTCCATAACTGTGGCCTGTATCGTGTTTACAAATTATAATGGACAGACGGACGGACACACATGTCTAGATCGAAACTAATTCAGAATCCTATGACGACATAGCTGTGTTTACGGAAATTGATAACGACATAAATGAGTATGAAAAAATATTGAGGAGAAAAAGTCAAATTAAAGAAAAAAGTACAATTGCTTTAACAAAAAAAAATCCTCAGAAGGATCAGTGGTTTGGGACCGTTTTGGCCAATTGGTAATTGGAAACAAACCTGTTCTTACAAAGTTCCAACTTTGCAAATTTTGCTTTGAGGAGAACCCCTGCGACAAAAAAGGTGGGTAAATGTTATTTCTTGGAAATGATAAATTAATTAGGAACCGTTGTTTTAGGAGAATTACCAATTAGATTAGATTTTCAATACAATATTGTATTCTATGAAAAAATAAGTGACAACAAAGAAGATTTAATTTTCAAAAACGAAACAATTTTATGTCTTGACATCGGCTCACAGCCGGCTTTAAGCCGCCGCCGACATTTTTAACATAAGCCGCCGCCGCCGACAAATTTGCTCGGCGCAGGTCTCTGTCTCCAGCCTGTATACAATGCTATTGGGGATTCATGATTGTTGCCGTCAATGAATGTTTTTTCTCAGTCAGTCAAGGCGAGGCACGGCACGGCCAAGCAGCCAGACTCTTTTGTTCACCTCATCGTCGTCATCATCATCATCTCCTTGGCTTTTCATTCTTCTGTATATTTTTTTGTTCTGCTGCTTTCATTTTCCACCTTAGAAATGGATGAAATGGGTGGGTGGGTCGATGTACGGAATTGTGGGCTGGTGGACCCCGAAGACAAAGTGGAGTGAGAAGAATATGAGAGTAGAGCTAAACATTTGTTTTTTCCTTGTTTTACAGAATCAAAGTCAAGACCTCATACTCCGCCTCATCTCATTATGTTGGCAAATGGCTCCTCTTGTGGGGGAGGGCGGGTATTTCGCTGGTTGTATATCTTGGAAAAGGTGTAGTAGCAGCAGTAGCCACTTTTGTGTGTGTGTACATTAGAGGATATGTAGGTATATAACATTGGGCCATGGTAGCCTAAAGCCACCCTTCTGTATGACTTTGATGATGGACGGACCGAACGACCTCCTAACTGCGAAAATTTCGCATTTCGTGATTATAATGGATGCGATTCTCTGTGTGTGTACGCATGGTTTACCATTGCATTTCCTAATATGTAATAAGCCATAATCATCAAGTCAAGGATGAATGCCTTGAAAACATTAACATGTTTTGTTTTGTTTGTTTCGTGTTATTTATGTTATCCTGACCACCTTGCCCTTGTAGACCCCGAATGTCGGCTACATTTTGTGGTTAATGTAGCCAACA